CTGCCTGTGAGGGGTCGACGGGGGACAGGACGGCCCCCAGAATCCATCTTATCTCCAGCAAACTGGTTGGTCCACTTAAGGAGTTTACTGCTTGGTGGTGAAACAATTTACTTGGAACTCCTCAGACTGATGAAGCCCTCCTGATAGAGGGTGAAATGTCTCTACAAAAATGAAACTGTCTAGTTGACCTGACTGAGCATTATTGGATAAATGGAGGTCAAGAACAACCATTCTCCTAATTTAGTAAGTTTTTAGATTTTTTTTAAGCAAACATTAGAAAAATTTGGGTTCAGTCAAGCAAGACAGTAGGACAGACCCAGTCCCACAAATCTAACAGTCTGAATAAACCACTGACCAAAACAGAAATCTAACATCCATTGAATGACACAAAATAGACATTCTAAAAGCCTACAATATATTTTTAATCAAGATATGCCATACTTTGAGCTGGAGAAAGAGCACTGGTATGTTTGTCAAGCCTGCATGTAATAAGTGATTAGGAATTAAAAATTTCATAATTAAACACAATGGCTTTTTTTGGATGATTACTTCCTCTAGTACTGGATGCTGTGCAGCTGGAAGGATTTGATTGAAACTTTTTTTATGTTTAGATGTTTAATATGAAATGTAACCAAGACAACAAGGTGGTTTTTACAACTGGGAGCAGCTGATTAACATCTCAAAGCTCAAATATTACCTCAAATACAGCCCCAAATCCCAAATAAGTTGTAAAGGAGGCACCATGGATGTATCTCCATCAACCTGGTAGAGGTGCTCTAGTGACTGACCGCCCAGATCCTGGAATTTGCAGGAAACATCGCTCATGACAACAAGAAGACCAAGATCATCCCCGACACCTGCAGTTGGCTGTTTGTAATGATGAGAAGCTCAAAAAGCTGCTCAGAGGAGTGGCCATCACTTAGGAACGAGTTCTGCCAAATATTCAGGTGGTCCTGCTGCCCAGTAGGACAATGAGGCCTGCTGGGTGCGGGGGGGCGGATCTGCATCTGCAGCCAGTTTCTTAAGATCCACTGTGGGATTGACTGCTGCAGATCCTTCCTGCCAACAGCCATCAGCATATACAGTACAGGTATAACAACCCTTAATGAAACCAGGATGATGAGTTACTACATTTAATTTCCCTTTGAGATTAATTTTGAATTGAATTGAATTGAATTGAATTGAATTGAATTGAATTGAATTGCAGATTCATGTGTACGGTTCACTAAAATTAGGTAATGGATTTCTTCACAGTATATTTTATTGCAAATTTGGCACTAGATGGGTTCCACATGTATTTACGTGATAAAAGTGACAGGATGAATGATCACACGTTATGATGAGGCCTGCACAAAGTCTTCACATTGCTTTAATCCAGACATGTGACGAACTGCAGCATGGATTAACCACACCTTTGATTCTGGGCACGTCAAGTAAAAACATCAATCTCTGTTCCTGTCACAGGGAAGTTGAAGGCAAACATAACTTTCATTGGCACAGACATATCAGGAAAAACAAGAGGGTTGACATCATTTCCTGAACAACAAACGTTTTTCAAACCATTTCAGCAGTCACTTCACAGTTGGGGTCTTTGTGTTACGTTCACGTACATTCTGTTGTCACAGATCTTGCTGTGGAGAGATCACACTGCACATGTGATCAAGTTGCAGATACTTCTTTGTGTCAGGAAAACTTATCGCTTATCTCAATAAGAAAACAGTCCATATTTGCAAAACATATAATAGTTGTACATACATATAAAAATAAAAGTTGCTTTTTTGAGATTTTGCTGAAAAGTTGCAGAATCCAAAATAAGATTCAATAAAAAATAATGACTTTCTTAGATATATTATTTTTATCGTACCAGAATTTTCTGATTTACTTAAGGTCATATGGATGTGATTACCTAACATTGGACTGAACATTTTGTTCTGAAACCAAAACCTATTGTAGGCTATGATGTGAGAAAAACCTTAATTATTCAACAGTCCAGCAGCACGGTGGCGCAACTGGTAGAGCTGCTGCCTCTCAGCGAGCAGGTCCCTGGTTCAAATCCTGGTCTGGAGGCCTTTCTGGGTGGAGTTTGCATGTTCTCTCCGTGCATGTGTGGGTTTTCCCCAGGTACTCCGGTTTCCTCCCACAGACCAAAAACATGCATGTTAGACTGACTGGTAACTCTAAAATGTCCCTAGGTGAGAGAGTGAATGCTTGTTTGTGTCGTTTGTCTCTATGTGTCCCTGTGATGGACTGGAGACCCATCCAGGGTGTACCCCGCCCCTTGTACAGTGATTGCTGGACATGGGCACTGGTAACCCCCGTGACCCAAAATGGAAGAGGCGGGTAAAATGTAATGGATGGATGGATGGATATTCAACAGTCAACATATTAGTCAACATGTTCTCAATGGTTAAGTCCAGGAAAAAAAAAATAGTAAAATAATTATGCACTGGACATATCAGCTGTCTTTTTGAACTTTATAAGACATTTTGTGCACCGAGTTCTTCAATGTTTTAAGCCCTTTCTAACTTTTAAAAATATATTGATACACTGGATAATGATAAGAAATGTGGGTTGGTGTACTTTGCTGTAGAGAAGTAGTCTTGTGCATTTGATTTTTGGTAATCTTGAACAGCATTTTTTTTGAACGGCAAAGTTATTGGCTGGGACACGAACCAATTAGTGTGCAGTCATGAGAAGGATCAAAACAGAAAAAATAGTTCAAGCTCCTGTCTCTTTTTCCTACGACCACACTGCACACACAATTAGTCTCCTTCTGGAAAGTACAGATGCATCCAAAAGATTAAATAATATTGTGAAAAACTTATATATATTTTTTGTCAATCGTTTCAGAAAGTGAAACATAGATTCATCACACAAAGTGAAATATTAGTAGTCCCTCGCTACTTCACATTTTGACTTGCGCAGACTCGCTCTTTTGCAGTTTTTCAAAGTAAGATTGGCCATGACAAACAACTGGCTGATTGATGGATGAGCCATGGATTGGTTATTTTAAATAAACTATTTTTAAATGATTTAGCATCTACTAAATCATTAAGTGCAGAGAGAAGATGCCTCTGTCATGATCAGGTTAACCCTTTACTGTCCAGCTACATATATTATCATATATACAGGTCCTTCTCCAAAAATTAGCATATTGTGATAAAGGTCATTATTTTCCACAATGTAATGATAAAAATGAAACTTTCATATATTTCAGATTCATTGCACACCAACTGAAATATTTCAGGTCTTTAATTGTTTTAATACTGATGATTATGGCATACAGCTCATGAAAACCCAAAATGCCTGTCCCAAAAAATGAGCATATCATGAAAAGGTTCTCTAAACAAGCTATTAACCTAACCATCTGAATCAACGACGTAACTCTAAACACCTGCAAAAGATTCCTGAGGCTTTTAAAAACTCCCAGCCTTGTTCATTACTCAAAACCACAATCATGGGTAAGACTGCCGACCTGACTGCTGTCCAGAAGGCCATCATTGACACCCTCAAGCAAGAGGGTAAGACACAGAAAGAACTTGCTGAACGAATAGGCTGTTCCCAGAGTGCTGTATCAAGGCACCTCAGTGGGAAGTCTGTGGGAAGGGAAAAGTGTGGCAGAAAA